GCACCTCGCGCGCGCCGCTGGCCGTGAGCTCGGGGTCGGGCCCGGCGCAGCCCTCGGCGGCGGCGTCGGGGCGGCCGCAGCAGGTCCAGTGGCAGTCGGCGTAGTACCCGCGGTGCGGCGCGGCGGCGCGCTCGTGGCGACACAGCGCGCTCAGTAGCCGCACCCACTCCGCGCGCTCCACGCAGTTGGCGGCCTGCACGAACAGTACTCGCTCGCGGTGCACTGCAACATACATCAATATGTACTACACGCCCTGCCTTACTCAACTTGATAATATTACTGATACTTAAACAAATTTCACAATAAAACATACTTATGTGTAAATACTGACCTATTTGGAAGATATTGTTGGCGCCGAGCGGAGCCCCAGCGGTGGGGCAGTCCACCGCGGCGACGGCCAGCACCCCGGACAATGGCAGGCGCTGCGCAGTCGCGCGAGCTCCTGTGCGCGACCATGACAACTCGCCACTACAACAAAACATAATACCATTATTAGAACACTTTACAGTTAAAATTAATATAACGGATAAAAAATACTTTACTTGTCTATTTTCTATAGTATAAACATACAAGACTGAAAATAATGTATTACCTGGTGAGCCTGAAATGTCTTCGCTTAGCGTAAGCATGCGCGGCTCGAGTCCACCGACGGCGAGGCGAGCCTGCACCCGTCCGAACTCCTTCCGACCGCTTGATCATCGTTCTGAAACATGACAGTGCAATAAGTACCCGTATATTCGTTCACCAGTGCTCACAACCAGTTTCAGTAAAAATATCTGTCGATTTTGGTTACTAAACAACCAAATCGTTTGCCAAACAAAGTACACAGTAAAAATAGACTAATACATACCCCAATCTAATCCAAGAAGGCACAAAAATAGAAAATATTGTTTAATCTTTGTTTCGATGTAAGAGAAGAAAAAAATCGATAACATCTATTATGTATCTACGTTTAAAAAATCAGCAACATAAGATAGAGAAGAGCGAGAACTATAAACAAGACTTAATAGAAAATAAACACACCCGATTTTTTTTTTATTCTGTCATTATGATTATGATAGTATTAATTTGTGTAGAAAGAAGATGTGAACGTACCCTTCTTTGAGCAGCACGGGCGTTTCTTGTATGTTGTTGTTCTGTGTATCCGTGCTTGTGGAGATTATTTCGAGAAACTGCTTTATTGCTTGCACCTGCAATGTCACACGTTGAACTCAATATTATTGTTTTTGAACTTATTTCATATTCTTGGATGAGGATTTGTACGTAATAATTTCAAAATAGTTCAGTAACATACAATGGTTTGTAACTCAATAATTATGTCAATATATTGCGATATGGATTATACACATTTCTCACGGGAAAGGCCAGATCTTTAAACAAGGGTGGTTTTCTTTAAACAATACACCATATACAAATTTCTTTATTGTATAAACAAGGATTATTGATTGCATTATATGTATAGTTCTCATGAGACAAGTTTGCATGCTATTTCATGTAAATAAGAATTTATGCTGATCGAATGAAAGCAAGCACGTCTTGTACACATGTGTACGGTTTCACCACCGCACATTTTTCTGTTTACGCGTCAACCTACTTTAGGCTAAGAACATAAAACAACGTGAAGTACGAATTAAAATTTAATCGACTTATAATGTGGTTGCTATCAACAACGGAGAGAAATATCGCCCTTCATTCAAATTGTAAGTTAATTGCAATAAACTAACTAGGTATATCAACTTCAGTAAAGATGACTTCACTTCAAATCAATGTATCAACTACTATAACTCGTACAACAAGGTTAAGCATCCTAGCTATATTATCCGGTTTTGTTTATACCACGAAGGTGGCAAAAAAGCAAACGGCCTGATGGTAAGCGTTTACCGTAGCCTGTGTACGCTTTACCATGATCTCGCTTTGAATGGGCTTTCTGCACGTTCAATGGTCAGTTTATACCGGTTTTACATAGGTTATCTAATATATAAATAGTTTGACTACTATGTCTAGACTGGCGGTACGTACATGTCTTGGCGTGCAGAAACTGCGATAGAGTTCAGCCATGTACTCCTCCTTGCACACTTGCTGCGCGGACCGACTGCTCACCAGGTTGCCCAGCGACTGAATCGTCTTAGAGATCAATGTCAACGTCCGGTTTGTTTGTGGGTCCTGCGAGAAAAATATCAAATAATCATTGGTTAAAATGTAAAATAAAAACATGTTTTTAATTCTTTAGTGAAATTATAAATTGCTTTAGAGACGAAACTTAAAGTTGAACTTTACCATAGTTTTCTGCAAATGATTAAATTTCAATAGTTATCTATAAGCAGTGAATACTTACAATTTGCTCAGTAGTGAGATCAAAAAGCCTGGGTCCAAGTATGGCAGGCGCGAAGAACCTCAGGAAGATGAACCCTGAGACCACAGAGTACCGCACCTCGGCGTTCCGTGGGAAGTGACGCGCCGCGCACTGTCGCAGTGCGTCGAACAAACGACACATCGCCGACGGACACATCGCGTACGACGATGTTATCGCCGCAAACACCTATGGATAAAATTGACATTTTGTAATGATTTGTGATAATTTACCTATTTGCGCTAACGTTAAAGGAATACTAAGACTACTCGAGACAAGACAAAATTCAAATAAAATACATCACTTGATGAACGACATATCATTCACATGTATGAAAGCACCATATACTACTATGGATCGACCAATGGTCATTATCTCGTCTGGTAGGCAATGATGCTGTCTACGATGGAGCACGCCTGTCCATAAGCACCCTATCAGTTACGCCCTGATGACACCCAAATTATAACTTTCAGGAGACTGGCAAAAAATTACATACACTCTTTTCTTGTGAATGTAAAGAAAGTTAATTTTTTACTATTATATAAAGCGGAAGAGATACCTTTTTTGTTTGTTTGTTTAAACGTGCTAATCTCCGGAACTACAAGTCTGATTTGAACAATTCTTTTCGTGTTGGATAGCGCATTTATCGGGGATGGCTATAGGCTATAAAACGTCACGCTACAACCAATAGGAACTGAGCAGAGCGTGTGAAACCGCGCGGAAGAAGCTAGTCATAAATATAGAAACAACGTACCCGTTCCACATAGTCTTTCAAGTTGGCGAGGTTGGCAGTGACGGCGGCCGAGGGTTTGACCCGCGCGGGGTCTATCTCACATGGCCGTCGCTCGGCCAACACTGCGGCCAATGTTGGCCGTAACACCGCACGCAAGTACGACGCGCCGCTCAACCGCATCGCTTCGTCCATCATCTTCGAGACAAGGGTGTTGCCTCTAAATATCGTTGTTGCGTCACTGCAATGTTATTTTATTTGTTAAGAATTGTGTAGATATACGTTGTTGTAACCCGTATGTTTTAATTTATTTTGCATATCTTACACTTGCTTGCTTGTGTAAACGTGACATTGTTCGCTCATGAGTATGAACCACGGTGTCACTCGAAAACCTTCGAGGATGATCAAAGCATTTTCTAATAGTTTAAGTGAGCAAGTTTTAATGTTATTAATTAATTTAAAAAATACTTTATTGTTGTACAAAAACCTTTTATTGTGCAAAATTCGTATTATTATTAACGAAGATAGATCAGTTGGCAGTATGGAATGAATTAAATGAGATAAATGATAAAGTGCAAAGATGACGAATGCCGACCGACATGGGCCGGACGTAGCATACAATCAATTTGATTGCTACTACTGTTCATGTCAAAATTCACTATATTTGCAGTTCACGCATTTGTGAGATAGATTGTTAACAATTAACAAATTGATCATAACTGTGAATTGTTTAAAAGTATAAAACAATGTGAGGTACTCACGTAAGCGCAGATATCTCAGCATCTGCAAGCTCCTTGACAATGGGTACAATGAGATCATGATGTGTGAATAGCCTTACGAGGGGTTGCGCCGCGTCTGTCTTACTCGACACTATCTCCCCCAATATGTACACTGCCGACGCTGTTATGGGCTGAAAAATGATTACATTATAAATATTAGCTTATCTAGTTGTCGTCCTTTCGTTTGCTGTGCCAATGTTTTGTCTGCGTCGGCAGACTAAACATTATGCACAAACGGCATGTGTAAATGTCATTTAAAGGATGCAGTGTAGTGTAGGCGTAGAAAAAAAAAAACATAAGCGTATTCGATCTAAGAAATGGTAAATTCTTACAAAATAAACAAGCATTTTTGTCTAATTATGTTTTAGATTTAGACAAAGAGCTGTGTCCTTACCTTCTGATGAACACTCCGTAGAAATAATTCTTCGAGTGTCCTGTAGTGCTGCAGTGGGAAAACGTGGTCTACAGTGTATTGTAGCAGTAGTCGCAGCGAGCCTAGCGTGGCGCTGCCGGCAGCCGACAGCCGCGTGCCGGGCGGAGTCGCGCCGCGGGATAGTGCTCCACCCGCGCGAGATGTTAAGAAGAACCTGTCGTACAATTATACCAGAATTAAATTAATGTTTTTTCTCTAGTATACTTATAGTTTATTCTCATTCAAGAACTCGGATTTGACTGCCGTGGTCTAAATGGATCAACTCTTACCAGGCACGTAAAGGGGTCGGTGAAGGTTGTCGCAGTTGCAGTCGTACTTCTCCCAGAAATATTGGTGTCGCAGCATCATGCCACACCGATACTCTGGCTTCACAGGCCACTCCCGCCTGGAATTCGATAACATGATAGTTAAATAACGGACGATTATGAAAAACGTGCATTGAGCAAAAAAAAAACTCATTGTGAAATAACTTACCGTTTGTGAGCCATCTTTATCCTTGGGATCTGCGTCCATAACGAGATCAAAACAAAAAATTTCATCAAATTGTGGATTAACAGTCTTCTTTTTAGGTTTCGTACGTTTTTCAACTCTTCGTCCGTTCGAATATAATAACGTGACGAGAGCAAACGGGTCACACTGTCCATTCTTAGTGGTTAATTCAGAGCATTCCAGCACTCGCAGACGTAGGGTGTCATGTCCTACTCGCGCTGCACAATGCCTCTCGGGGTCTGACCAGTAGTCAGCGGCGGTGGGGGTGGGGGACGCATCAGATTCAGGCATCGCATGCATGGGAGGCTTCGTGCGAGCTGCCCATTGTGCCCGATCCTTTAAACTTTCCGATCGCGATAACGAAAGAGAGGGCTCCGTCGCTACCGCACTCAGAAGCTTCTTGCTAGTAGAACTCGAGCAAGAACCAAATCTCATACTCTCTTTACAATATTCGGATAATCGTATGAGGTTATTTCCTTTAGCTTTTGTCGAACAGTTGTCAACGGTAGGATCCGGGTCGGGAGGTTTCGGTTCCATTCGTAATCTTTTTCTGGAGTCTTCAAGGGTGAGTTCAATGTATGCCTTCCCTTGCACCTCAGAGTCAGCGTCGACCGGTCGTAACGCAAACCAATGGTCTTTATTGTTATACCGGTGCAGATCTTCTCTTTTGATCGCCACTTTACCGAGGACTTTGTCTTGTTTAAGGTGCTTGTCACGATCGAACACGTATATGGAAAGATATCGAAATCGTCGCGGCACCTCGAATTGGAACTCCTCGCCGAAGAATGGACTGGAACAATAAAAACATTTTTAATTACGTATAGGTACAAGCCACAGGTACATTTTGTTAGCACTAGCATATCTCAAGTCCTATATAATACATATAACGTCAAATAATCGTTATCAAGCTTTCGACGGCGCGCTAATTTATAGTCGGGTTGCAGCCTAGTTGTAGACGCGTGGGGTGTATGCCTTGCACGAGTGTCGCCGTCAGATTTGCCACCCACAGTTAATGAATAATTTTATGTAGGTACTGTAGATAATGTAATATTTAGTTTTAATAAAACTGTGTCATATTTCAGAGACAGACAGGTTCGAATAGTTTTAAGAGCACAATAAGAATATACATTTAAAATAGACACGTTGCGGAATCCGAGGTAACTGATTTATTAAATCGAGTAATAAAATCAGCATTCAGATGAAATAATAAAGACATAATGAACAATGGTTCTTTCAACTTTGTAATCATTTTGAAGTAAATGAAAATTCAAATTCTTGAAATAAAAGAAATATTTAGAGAATTTATTCTGATAATGAAAGTGGTTGGTAAAATGGGAAACGACACGACTTTGATTCAAATGTACTGATTGCAAATGGAATAACCGAACGTCGTAACAACTGAATGAAATTAAATTTGGAACTGCTTGGTATTTCCTGGAGAACGCAGTACTTGCAATCCCGGAAAGGGGGATAATAAAAGACGAAGCAGTGGCCATAATGTAGTAATAGTATTCGGTAAAGAGTGAGTATGTAAACAATGCTGAGTTCATGATGTAAGCTATAGTGAATGCGTGGGACCGCCTCGCTCAAAGGAGAAAGTTTGACAATCCCGGTGACACCTCTATCTCACAGCCTAATAATAAACCACGCAACTTGAAAGTGGATTCTTTGTGACAAAAATAATTTGCACTTATTTAACTAAGTCGTTAACATATTTGTGGAGTAATTATAGCACAATTTTAGAAATTAATTTCAGTCATCTTCTGATTTCTAATGAAATATGAAACGTAATTAATGGTTATTCATAATTGCACCCCTAGTCAACGAATTACAATTAAAAATACATTACATTCTTAAAATGATGAATTCATTTAACTTAGGGTCACGATTTCTGTCAATTTTGTTTAAGGTCTGTGTTCCTAGAATAGCGCAGTGATTTGTGCAGCCCTAATGAATAAAATGAACTATACGTACTCCCAAAGAACATTACGTATCTATTTGTAAAACACGATAATAACTCAATAAAGAGGTTTATTGACTCGCACGGAGTGTACGTAGGTATAAGAAGCTCGCAGTATATCGAGTTGGTGGCAGGCTCGCAGGCGCATCCGGCGCCGGCGCAGTATTTATAAACCGGAGGCGGAACCGCACCAGCTGAGCGGGGGCAGCCCAAGCTCACTTGCTATTGCACACACTTCACGCCTATAATTTTAATAGGTCGATTTGATTTACTGCTACCATTCATTCAATAGCATAACAACTATCTACACTATTTATTTATTTATCTACATTTATTACATTCTGCCATTGTGTATTTTATACTTTTACTGTGACAGTGCTCTGTTACGATTCAGAGTACGTGGAAACATCAGGAAAGGTACCATTAATCGAAATTATTTGGAATGTTCAGTAGGTCGATGCACGGAAGCGCATTTTTGGTTGAACTATGAAACTCGTTTATAATACGCAGAGTATCGGGTCGAGAGCACAAAATAGCACAGGGTAGAAACCAGAGCAATGCACTTAAGACAGCCGCTACTCCGGGCCGGGGACGGCTCAGGCGCTGGCGATGATCATTTTACGTGCCACGCAGTTCCGGGACCAATTTATCACTTAAAAGCTTCCGTTTAATGTTGACGCGATTTTTATGAGTCTCTCGTCGAAATCGTCTTTGTATTTTTCTTGTTGTTTCAAACCCAATTGCCTAGTGTCGTTTTATCGCATAATTAAAAAAAAATCCATTTGTAATACCAAAAGGTGACCCTTCAGATATTTCTCAATTTTTACAATGTTTCGATTGAGTCATTCGGTTAAATATAAACTACATTTCCAAGATTTTTGTAGAGTAAGACTTTTATGTCGAATTCAGATATAAAAATATTTGCTTAAATGTTATAAACATAGGTATTCTGCTAAAGTATTATTTATTAACAACTATCACGAGAGAACAGTAATTGTAAGGAAGGCAGACTCAGACTGCATACACAAGGAACTAAATAGGTTTATTATCAGTAGGTACATAGTTAGTGAGGCACAGATAGTTTGGACAGAGGCACATAGTAAGTGCAGTGATAAGGTATCGCGAGACAAAGAACCCATTAAATTAACTCGACGAGTGACGTGACATTTCCTTCGATATCCGCCAGTCCACTGTGGCCTCACCTCTTGGGTCACAAAATCATTATCGCTTCCGTTCATTAACAAGCAAAACAGACTACCATTACAGATAAACAATGACACGTATTGACGTTCTCTGTTTCATTCGAGGTGTCATTAGGGAAACACAGATTTGCTTTAGTACCGAGGTATTTTTATTACGGCAAACCACATTTTTATTCACCAGAAATATTGTGACCAATATAAAAACATTAAATACTAACAAATGCATTCACTTCTAATAACTAGGTATTCGTAAATTAACAATAACAACGATGGACTACGTAGGTGGTGCTTTTTAATAGGTAATGAAAAGAATTTGAGGAGCAGTTCCCACAACTAATCAGGGGGAGCATAACCGACGGCAGTAATTAAAATCATTGCTGCGGCGCTGTCTTTTATTCATTCTAAAAATTGAATGGCAAGGGGGTGAAGCGGAAGGGACGTTCCGCATCGTCGCACGCGTACCGGAAGCACGTCCGGGACGTGGCGCGCCGCAGTGCCCGCCCTCCCTTACTATACAATAGCGCCTCCCCCGAATTATACGCGTTATCAAAAGCCACACCGCGCCGCTTGAATTAATTGTGACTAATGTTTAATTGATGACAAATCATTCAACACGTTACCAACGTGAGCAAGGTGGCTTTGTATAAAATGTGATATGAATGGGGTATACAAACATACGCAGCTCATTTATACTAAAACTAACTTTATTCGTTAGCTTATGTTTTTACTTTAGATACACCTAGGTAAATGTTTTTGAATACATTGTAATAACTCTACACAGTATCAAAATATGTTTGTCAGATTGTATGTATAAAACCTCAGGGACACATGGTCGTGAAAGCGCCGGAAGTGATACATATCATATGCAAGAGATTAGGAGTGTGCGCTTGCGCATATTCGTGACGACACATTAATGTTTCGAAGAAAGTTACCCACAGTTCAGTCGAACCTAGGGCATTGGTTTAATTAGAATATTTAATACTGAATAGCACGTTTTCTAACTGTAATTAAAGGCGCGAGTACCAGAAACTTTGTGATATTTTAATTGCTAAGGGATTGGTGAAAACTTCGTCATGTGGTTGAGTTCAGCATAACGTAATGTTATGAATTAGTCAGAATATTTGTTCTGTTATTCCAACGTAGAATACTCCCGTAGTACGCCACAATTAATTGTTTCAATTAAATGTACGTCTGCCACTTAAAATAGTTCATTCATGAATAGTAGAAACCTTGACCTATTAAATTGTTTGCTCTCCCTAAATGTTGGTAAACGGTTCCCACACGATAACGACGGAAGTGAGACCGGACACCGGACAAAGGATCCGTTATTATTATGTCAATTCGAACGTACGTAACGTTCCTGTTTTGTATAATTTGTGAAGGGTCCAAAAAGACTACCAAGGGCAAATTTTATGGTTAACCGAAATTTATAGTAATTAGTAGATGAAGCAACTGTAGAAGCCTACAGTTTCCTTTTTTTGTGGTTGAAATTAATTACTCCAAATTAAAAATTCATAAGTACCTACCTATATAGATTTTGAATCTTGAACGCTAAGCCCATTAACGAGAAGTTACCCAATAAATACATACAGGTTTACAAACCCTAGCACCTAGATTTATCTTATGTAAATTGTAAAAAGAGTTAAAGTAACTTACTTGAGGGTTCTCTCCATGGTGGAAGTGCGAAATATTTCTTCTTGGTCGAGCGACAGCACACAGTAAATATCACGGTGGCAGGCCGCCCCATGGCTGCGCCCTGGCAAATTTTTGGCTTCACCTGAAACAAAGAACGGATAAAATCAATATCAAATGAAAAGAAAACTTTTACGAATAGAAATAGGAAAGTTCAGTTCCTTGCTATGGTTGCCATTGATGATACACAAAATATTCTAACTACACGAGTTTGTGATTTCCCGTTATAACAACAATGGATTTTTTTTACTTATACTTCAATTCCCATTGCCATACTTACGCAAACATTATCTTGTTTTGTGATCAACGACAACGTTATGTCGAGTGACATTTCAAGTACTGCTAGTTTCCCATAGTTTGCATCTTATTGCTTATTTTATAGAGCTTGCGAAAAGACCTTGAGTGGTTGAAATTTCAATGGACGTTAATGTGGCTTTCTAGTTTTTTTAACTCGTCGAGTACCGGTTTTGTAGACACAATTATAGAACAATAGGTTGCGGTCACCGGTGACCGCTTGGTATTTGACAGTTTAAAGATGTTCTGCAATGAGATGGTTTATTGCATAATGTGCCCGAAACAAGTATTTTTCCCAACGAACAAAGAAGTAGTTAGAGCACATAGTAAAACTATGCAAGTACATTTTCATTGCGCACTTGCGCAGCGAATTTAACTCAAATATAATATTAATAATTTGTCCAAGTGCAGGATTGCAGAATGTTCGTGATGGGGTCTTTCAACATGGTTATTTTTTTTGCCTACTGTATGCAAAGCAGTGTTACCCAAGGCATGCTCTTTCCGATATAATTTTGTGTGTCATAGGTATAATAGGTATTTACAAGAATGAGTTAAAATAGTCATACACATAGGGTTTCGTGAACTTTGTATCTCAGTAAAAGGGTGAAGCTGTGAGCTCAGTCATGTTAATTAATTTCTGTTTCACCGAAACAGTAAACATGGCCATTTCTTTTTTTGGACACAAGTCTGAAGTAATGATGTATAAAGGCGGAGGGACCATTGGAGGTTGCGCAACATGTTGCGACCTCGTCAGTAATCGCTAAATACGGAGAAGCAAGGTGAGGCGACCATCGGCCCATAAGCACCTATTGCTCTGACGTTTACTTGCAAAGTAAACTTGTCGCTAATTTATTCTACGTACATAATCTCTGCAATCTTATGACAGCTTACCAACAATGAGTATAAATTGTAATTTACTTTGAAAGTACAATCACAATTAAAGCCATTACAATGATACAAGCGGTCACAGCCGGTCAGCTGCACGCCCATGGCTACAATTTGACATTGACAACGCCTTGTTTCGTGGCGGTAAGGGCAGTTCGTAGTTCAAGTGTCACAAGTTGCGTGTGGTTTACAATACCAACACACTTATTACCGCGTATAAAGTACAAGTACATGTTCAATTGATTCCATAGCACATTTGTGCTGCATGATTGCATATTGTAACAAGAAACATATTCCCACTGTTTTCTTTAGCCGCGTAGTAGACAATACAATAAGAGCGCCATGAATGGCCCGTTTGTAAGAGGAACATGACGAAATGTTATTCTAAGTAGCTACTATTACAAACACAGATGTAGTACATAGACTAGAAACTAGGTGCAAGAAGACACGATGAACATATTTGCAATAACTTCCTTATTACAAAATAAATAAGGACGGTCGCCAGGCAAAGGTTTGCAAATACGTACAATACGTACATATGTCTAAAAATCGATCGAAAAATGTTTGCAGTATTCGGTTTGTAAGCCGGAAAAAAATTTGAAAATGTCGCTATTGATAATAATTTAATAACAGCAGGAGCAAGGTTTTGAGGATGACTGTAAATGTGGGTGCTCTATGACAGGTTTGAAAGAAAGAATTTATAGTTATACATATGGGTAAAACAGCCAGTTAAATAACAATCAGGTACATACATGCCAACTATAAATAATAATTAGGAATGGAGCACCAATGTCATAATTGTGATATAGGATAACGAGATCAACAATAAGCCTTCATTTTATGTAAGTACATTTGTAATAAAATAAAATATGCTCCTCAGCCTTTTTGATGTACCTTTTCATAGAGTACACGAGTACACACATTCTATACTTCATGTTGCGAAACAATAACAAATAATCTGGTGTGACAGTCGCTCAATGCCCGAATAATTGCAAATTGATGGAGAAAGTTACAAGTTCCCCGGAAGACCCAACTTTCCATATTTTTTTCCCATGTAATACATATTAGGTACCTAGGAGCCAAATAGAGAATTACCATGGTGATTATGTAGTTAAAGGGATCGAAATGATTAATGGTGGTCTTATGAAACAACTGTGACGAATTAAAGATAACTTATTTCGACTCACTCACTCTTAGGATTAAACTGTATTAGTTGTTCAAGTGTAATTTAATAACAAACACAAAATAACAAGTAATGATTGCGTGACGTTTCTCTTAACCCTACGTAATTACTCACAACAAAGATGACGTAATCTTAAAATAATAGGGATTTGTGTTTTGGTCTCAATTTCAGGAAATAACCAATAAGCACCTCCTATAACTGGCCGTGACCGATACTGATATTGTACCTACAACAGCGATACCCAATGCACTTATTATTTAACACTCGTTGAGACGATAAGAAAAGTGATAATCATTGTTTTCAGGTGCTGATAGTTAGATACGAGTAGTACATCAATTCTGTTTCGTGGTAAAAAAAACCTACCAACTTGAACTTTCATATATTTTTTCTTAAGCAAATTGGTCAATTAAAACGTTGCACGTAATTGTTGTAAATTGAGGCACGCTGCGATAGTTAGGACCGTTAAACAAAGGAAAGACCTTCCTGCGACTCTCACAAATTCGTAATTGTAGTGCTAGAGAAACTCACAACAAACTGTACATAATTGCTGATGCAAAAACAACCGTCATCATCATCAACATGACAGTAACACACGCCACTAAACTGGATCGTGGGAGAGAAACGGGATCCTTTGAATAGCGCCATCAGCCACTGAGGAAACGAATACGCACCAGCTATTTAGCCACAGCCACAATGGCGATCATTAACATGTTTCCACACGCTCGTATGCGTAGTGCAATTGTTTCGAAATCGAGAGTATTTACCTACCTCAGCTCGCTGACGGAGCGCCTGGGAACTGTTTGGCGAACAAAGTGATCGATTTCGATATCGTTTTAAGTATCACCGGAAAATAACAAGGTCATGCTATATCGTACCCTTCGTGTTTTGTAAAGATAATGAATGCCTTGCCTTTACACTGCCGGATCAAGCTTATCAAGTCAACGTTCTCTCGAGAGTCAAGTCAAGACGGATGTCGAAAATGTCGCTCATTTACACAGCTCGGAAACAGTAATTTTAGTCTGTCCTAGTCTTAGATTACATTGTTTACTACGAAAGGAAGATAACTTAACAATTCATCATGATCATAAAACTGATTTCCACCAGGCGCTTTATTCATAAAAATATTTACTTACCACAAAAACACGTGTTAGCTACTAACTGGTAAAGGAAATAGCGAATTCTCAACTCCTGCTTTATTTTAAAGACTCCCGGGAACAAACAAATCATAAATCATTAATTATTAAATTAGGTAGGTACTTTTGCGTACCTGTTGCATTTATCTCTAACTATACTCTTGCAGGTCGACAGCCTCGTTGTTCAACATGATGAACTCAGAACATTTATTGTTACACCGATGGTTATTTTGTTTCTTCTACTAATCGCTTACGTCAAAACTTTATCTTAGTACGATAATATCAATTGTATGTTATCATCTTGAGTTTGGATAAACCTCTGCTTTGAATAAATATTAGGTAAGTAGGTATTTTATTCGTTTTTTCAATCAACTCGTCTACTTAGCACGTGGGTGGAAACCTACGTTGGTAGTATAATATCCAGCGACCCAAGACGTTCACCCACGCTGCATTGGATACAATCGGTACTGTGCAGGTGGGTTGCGAAGTAGAACGTAGGTACTTTTTGCAAAAACGTAAACCGACTGGAGCCACAAATTTTGCAATATTAAATTGCTTCACATAATCAACATAACAGAAACAAGTACACCGGAGAAAATGTGATTTTCTTTGCTTTGAAAGTTAAAAAGTGAAAGACGATATCTACATTGTACTCGGCCAGTGTGTGGATGTATACTGTAATTACAAGGTATACTTTCTCATCTGTGCATTATATCGCACACGCCTTCCAGTTGTGCGTGCCTATACTGGTTCATTGTTTGTTAGACGGACAAAATGCTGTATAAAAACGAAATATGTTACAAAAGATGAATAACTTTAATTGTGAAATGAAAACAGGGAAGCAGACTCATTGTTATCCGACTGGATAACAATATCAATTGAAGAATAACACGAATGAATATCGAATGACAAACTGCGGAAACCGATGGATAACTATGTAGAACATGTAGATGTACATAATGTTCTATTTACTAAATGAAAACCATTCAGAGCAACCAATGGAATGTGTATATTAGAGGACAGGGCTTCATAATTCTATGTAAAATATGACTAACAGAGTACCTATGAATTCCTTTAGTCCTTTTTTGTAAATCCATGAGTAAAACACGATGTAACAAGTGTAATTAAAAGGACTAATGCTAATGAGTACGCAATGCCCCTAATCTATAAAAATTGCAAATACATACACATAATGTATGATCATGAGCGTGTTTCAAAAGAGCAATGACTTTAGATAAGCCTGATATATGTACCTACTGCACGATACAAAGTGTTTGTGGCTATTTATTAAAATAATAGGCACTAAACATAAAATGTTACATACTGTTTTAGAGTATTTATACATAAGTGTTCAGTTTCATAAAAAAGATCCCTAATGCCTAATCCTACATCATCTTTTTAGTTTTATTTTCAAGTAAAAGTGGTAAAAGTGGAAAACTGCAAACTGGGCCGAAGAATAGGATCAATAAAAGAAATAAAAGAAAAATAAAATAAAAGGCACCTTAATTTATAGATAGATTAAGGGATAGTATAGTATAGTATAGTGGTAAAGACAGCATAACAATAACAAGAAACACAGTTTAACATCAAAGTTTTCTCTGTTCTTTTCTTATATTTTATCTGTGTTTTAACCTTTACGTGTTCTGATGAAGTTTTTCAAACCCTTGGCATAACCAACAACAACCCATACATTACTCTCATAACTTCATAAAACTGTTAGTTTTCTAAATGGACACTAATCAAGTCAAGAGGCTTCAGGCTTGAGCCTGAAGTTAGAACGAAGAGTTAAAGACTTGAGTCTTTAACTGTAGATTCTAACTACGTACTATTCGCGGACTTTTCTTTGATTTGTTTCATGATCCTAATTTGGTTATGTAGGTATATTAAACATTATATTAACTACCAATAGCCTTCCATTGATCTTTTAATAGGTAAACTGACCATTTATCCTCCATACAAATATAAACAGTTATTTATTGTCAAAGTCAAGTCAGTTACGCCAATTATTAACTGAAGGACCGCTGAACTTTTCCTCAAATAATTAGCAGAATATTTTTTTTAATAACAACAAAATTATTGCAGATTAATTAGATATAATAAATTTAACCTTGCACTTCGTATTAAAATGATTTTATTTTAATATTATGAAGCAGTACGGCCTTGTGGATGAACTCGTTCAAACAGCGTATGTAAATAAATACTATTGTTACTTTTAATATAATAATGTAGCAAAAATGTGATTCCATATCATATGAAGTAAACAATCTTATCAATGGAAATTCGTACATTTTTATGATGCACGAATGCCGCGACGATTGAATGAAAATATGATATTGGCAAGTGGCGCGCCAGTCACATGTGGTGCTCCGCAGAGACGGCGATAACGGTGACGATAAACAAGCGCGTTTTTCATTAACGGATCGACGAGTTTCCATGAATGGATACGTTGAATGGAAAACGCTTGGTTTGCCCCATTCACTACGCGGCGTCGCTACCGCCGCCGCCCGCCCCTCGCTAGCTCGCTGGTGGAGCCGAGGCCGAGATACACAATGTACTATGTACAAGGCGACGTTCGACGCCCGCCAGCCGCCATCACGTCGCGCCGCTCTCATTGTTTCTACTAAGATTCTACCTAAACAGCTATCGCATAATTCACCTAACTAAGTTATCAACCCACAAAGATAACGACGCTGAAATATCTTCATTCATGCAAACTCACACCTAGCCAACATACTATCGCTTGAATCATTCAGTCAGTTAAAAATAATTGGCTTCCTGCATCTGGGAGCACAAATTCATATTAAGTATATCTACTATACAATGCGATCGACGAGACGATTCAACCTAGATTTGAATTCTATGTTTATTATTATAGTAGTGAGTGAATAAAACTTAGGCAGTAGAATTTAGAAATATGACTAACACAAATCTTTAAAAACAATTCAATATCTGCGTTCAGAAGAATGCAGACAGACTAAAGTATAAGAGACATTTATTTTATATTAAATGTATTTCACATAAACATACCTAATTATAATTTAGCTTGCTGGAGTGCTATTAATAGTACCTATGTACTTATAGTGAAACACTACCAGTCAAATAATATTTAGGTGTATCAATGAGCCAGTACAATGTGTTACAAAACTAAAAACAATAAGTACCTATTATTTAACGCCTTATACGTAATATACATATGATTATCCCCCCTTAAAAAATTTAATATACATGTAGGTATTAGGTATCAAAACGCCACTTGTAAATAAATATAGCTCCCAAGAAATGCTACTGAGTCGTCAGGCAGGCGATAGGCAGTACAGTGAAATACACACTGCTAATCAGAAACCTCTGTTTACCTAAGAAATAAGACACGATACGTATGTACTTAGGTACGTGCGTGACTCACATTCACTTGTTAATGTAGTTGTACTGTACAAAAATAACGTTTATATATTATATTACGTACAGTCGAGACGCGGAGTGTTCAGAACTTGAGCCCAACTCCTAAGAGTGAAAACGATGCTTTATCGACAAACCTCAAAAGGCGCAGGTAGTCGATTCTTGAGTCATACCACGCATCAAATAAATAATAGGATTCAATTAGCAGTTGCCCTTTTGGGTTTGGTAAGTATTGGTATGAACAAAGGTGTATATGATGGCGCATGGGTAGATAAGGTGCAGGCACGACGGAAGTTGCCATAAATAGGGCGTAAAGGTATAGTCTAATGTTGTCGTACATTATCGCTTGGGACTACTGAGACTAGCGCGTCTCAGAGAGCTAGAACTAGGCGCCGCCGCCCACAACTACATTCAGTAATTATCCATAAACAAGGTAATCTACTAAGTGCAAAGCCAATTAAGACATACCATAATTGTTCAACTATTCTTCTAGGTTACACTATTAAAAGGAATTCTTTTGGTTGAGCCTTAAATACACATTTACTTATTTTGGACTGTGCAGTTAATTGAATTTTAACGGTTTTAAAAAGTGTCTAGGTAGACCATTAGCCATCCGTCTCATACTTTTATTTCTAAAATATTACTGGCAACAATAACAGCAATATAATATTTAAATTTTGTCATAATGTGTAGCTAAAATTAAGCTGTGTTAAGAAAATAAGAGCATAACTGTTACATAACATAACATCACGCCTTGTATCCCCGAAAGGTTTCTTCCTTCCTACATTCCTTTGTACACTGTAACACCCACTTTTCACGATTTATATGTTATGAGTCGCGTGTAATATGGCGTGAGCTCTAAATCTGTTACATTACGCAAATAAATTATAGAATCTTAATTAGTCACCAAAGTTGTATACCTATGTTATATAAATTATAACAAAGCAACATAGAAGCGAAAGCGTCGGCGGGTCGCGCCCCGGAAGGCATACTGCACCCTTATCGTGGCAGACACACTTCGTGTTATCGTAGATTTATGCGCCCGCGCCGCCACCGCGCGCCGGCACAAATCAATCATATCATACATTTCTGTACCTACACACATATGCAAATGCATTACTTAGCTCACGTCATCCAATTGTGCAGTGTACTTATGGCACCTACGTGAACCATGTGTCAAAATCTCTATCATTATGTTCCTGGTTTATTTTCATGATTCAAATGGCGGAAGGCCGAACGGGTTGGCTCCAGCTCAAAGAGCAGGAGAAGGAATGTGGTGGGTTTTAGTAAGATTCTGAAACTCCCTTTCGCCTAACCCAAGGCGGGAGAAAGTCATTGGATGATTTTTCCCCCCTCAAAAAAAGTTACATTAATTTGTCATGGTATTGGCCGTTGCTTTCACACCGTCTACTTCATGCATTATGCAGCATCTTTACACTACTTAGAGTACCATTAGTAGCAGGATAGTTATACTGTGCCAAAATAAGGTATAATAAGATGATTTTCTTCCTTCTCTAACTGTAGAATGAAGTTCCGGTGACCAGTTAATGCAAAAGATGTCACAATAATTCTTTTATGTACGTACAACTGTGTTTCATTGGCAAAATTAATTAATTGTGTACTGGCAAAAGATCCACAAAACTAAAGAAAGACATATCTTTAGTTTTGTGGATCTTTTGCCTACATTTTGAGACAATTTAGTTATGGTTACATTAATTATAAGGCATTAGTGTATTTAGCGCTTTTTGCATTAAGAATCTGTATGTTTAATATTTTTACCTCGCTTCACACATATAGCACAGAATACTACTTATAGCTTAGTTTATACAATTTAAAAGTACTTAAAATTTACAAATATGTACCTATCCTTGAAATGAAGTATTACAACTACATTATTGTTTATTCTTTCAAAATAGGTAATAACTTTATTCATTTATATGATTACAGACACATTAGGTAACTATGATAATTAATTGTGACTCTACAAACCGGGTGCCTTCCAATTAGTTGAAATACTTTAAAGAAATTATATCCAACATAATAATTAATATACCTACTCAGTGTAATAATGTATTAGTAGATAATTGCACTGTAGATAATATTTGTAAATTAGATAGAATAAAGATTAGGAAAATTCAAATAGAAACAACATACATAATAGATGAGTACATAATGTGAATAACTAGATGTATTTTAAGAACTCTTTCATTGTAAAGTAGTAAAATAATCTCCATACTAAAATCTTTACTAGAACAGTATTTAAAAAGTGCAAGTATATTTTGAAAAAGAAAGCAAATAGGCGGGAAGTTCCAGTTTCAACTTAGTCTTATAATGAATTAAATGATGAGAGTACACAGCAGTATCTAATCTAATATGATCTAGACACGATATTCATTGTATTCACGGCAATTCATCAAATTCATTCATAAAGTTTGCGTGAACTGTCAAAACAGTACGACGAAAACAAAGAACTAGATTCTCAATTATATGTAAAATAGATCACATCCGTCGTATGATTGCACTTGAAACCATAGCATTACTTATTAACGTGGTGGTATTCATTCACATCTGGCTTAGAAAATTAAAGAGTTCTTTGGTACCACCTGTTCACCACAATGACAACAATATTTTACTTACAACGCGCCGAGCGTTCTTTTCTAAATATTTATTTTTAAAATAATTGCAGAATAATTGCTAGGCGTAAACACTAAATAAAGATGGCAAAACAATACGTACCGATCTTTATTTTCAATCTTTCTTCAACTCGCACTTTACGCATATCGTCCGCCATGTTAAATCCATAACTGTTTATCTCTTTCATCCGCTGTTATCTCTTTCGGAACGAGCCCGTTCGGCCGGCTTGTCCCGCCACTTCCGGAGTGTCGTAATGGTCTACTTGAGCCTGTTTTCGAATTAGCTGGGTAATTGAAATCCATACACAAAGTTCACTCTAAGAATCCACATTTTCGTCGATGTTTTGAATATACATTTATCACACACAGTAAACCGAATGAATTCACGCTTGCATTGCGCATGTGCTCAATACATACATGCACTGAACACTCTTTTCAATGAATGAACGCACTTGGTCTAACTTTTTAATCCTTTTGTAGGTTTGGATACAAATTTGTAATTAAACACTTATCTCACATTTCGAATCATTAACTCTATACAACATAACATGATCATGAAAATGTTTTGAAAACTTCATTTCTCAATGAATAAAAACTATGAATGGGCAATTACGTCACGTCAAGACGTTCAACGTTGCGCCTGCGCGGCCACGGATGAATTCGTTCCAACTTCGACCACTATCGCCTCGTTCGCAACTCGTTCTTTTTAATGAAAGAGATGGAAATATATTTTATTTCATTCGAGAATATTTAAAACTATTGACTTGGTTAGGAGTCTTTTTGCTATAAACTGGAAGTAATTTCTTTTAATATATGGCTGCAAAATCGACTAAGTGACAACTTATTACTAAACAAGACACTAAACCTACACCCTTAAACCTAGTCGTTGCCTAGACGCTCATTGATATAATAATGGACCCACCACATACGTAAAAATCTGTAAAAAAAATAATTATTAATGTATTTATTATTTATTAGGCATATGTACACCTAAACAACTCTTTATTTTTGTTTAGATGGTTTTTGCAAATATTTTCAAAATATTAACCGAACTTAGTTTTTTAAATAAAAGTTGTTTTTTTTTATTTTATTCTTTGTAATACTATAACTTAATGTGTTGATTGTTATTGGGTTTATTGGCGATACTAAGATTTCTAACAATAACACTTTGACAGAGTTTGACAGTTAACAGAATTCAGAAGATATTCTTAGGTTTTTGTAATAACATAACATACACACA